GCTGCAAATTGTACTGCTGGGAATGCCTATTGCTTGCAACTGACCGATTTGGTGTTTGGAGCCACACTGGATTGTTTTACTAGGGCAGCAAGGAAACAGCTGGGCACTTACAAGCTACGGTGCGTTTAAAAACGTTTGGGGACACTCGCGTAGATCTGCACCTCAGTGAACAGGCACGACATTGGTGAGTAAATGAATTTTATTTTACATTTCTTCTTGTCATTTTATTTCGTTAGTATTAAATTCATGGTAACGAAATAAAATGACAAAGATACAAAAATGTATCAAATAAATCTGCTCACCTGCAATTTATAATGGCGCATTGTAGTCACCTTCGTGCACGAAAGTTCGTTCAATCTCAGCTGCTCAACATTTTCAGTTATTTGCTGTTGAATCGCCGATTTTCAAAATGCAAATGATCTGTTTAATTTTCAAAGAATAGTTTGTTTTGTTATTGTTTGGTTGGTGTCTTGTATGAAACTGCGACATTGCGCAATTTATTGGACAGACTTGTTTAAGATCACACAGCGTAATTTGGGTGGCATTTTATTTCGTATTTTTAAATCATCTTTTTATTTTTGACTATCTGTAAATGTAGTTTCCTGCTCTTAATTGTGAATGCATACTTGATGGTTTTAAATGCTCCTGAAATTAAGTGCTGCTTGACGAGCCTATACAGTATTGTGTTCATAATATGTGACGTCACTGAAGGCCTAAGGTTGAAATGCACGGCCCGCCACTGTAATTAAGTATGTCATAAATATTACTTATCTCAAGAGAGCTCAGTCAAATAAATACACCCTTAAAAAAGACAAATAATTTAAACTAAGCGTTAGTTTGAAATGGATTTGAATTCTGTTATCAAGTGATAACTGAGGGGAAAAAAGAAGTGAGAAGAAACATCTGATTTGCCGATATGTGACGAAAATGTTCCCATACGGTGGAATCCTTTCTTCTTCAGGGTTCCTTTTCATGGTCCAAGGAAGAATTTCCATTCAAAAGATAATTGTAATTTTGCAATGATGGAAGCACGGTTAAAATGACGATGACTCTTTGAAAGACTGACCAGTACAGTTTTGGTTTGGCTTGAAATAATGACGGACGAAAGACGCAGGTGGCCTAGCCGCAAGTGAATGACCCACTGTCAAAATTTACTGATGTACTCACTTCTGGGAATATTGTATTATTATGTGAAATGTATTTTCTTACCAATGAAGATACCACTACGGCTTGGCGATTCAGCGTTGTAGTTTTTATCAAAGTTTCCTGTCAGCGCCCAGATCACAACTGGATAGTCAATGAGGACGTAGCGCATGTGTTTGTCCAGGACTACATTCTGCAAGAAAAACCTAAAAGAAATGATTTGACTTTGAAGAACAGGGGGGGAATATATACAGTGTATTTCACATGTTGTGTTGGTGCCAATCAGCTCACCAAACCAGCAGCATGATTGTCAAGATACAATAGGACACCGTGGCAGCATTGGTAGGCGAAATATTTGCTTCATAGGTCAGCACAATGGCCAAGTTGATGAGCGTGGCGATCGTTGTCCACGTTGTGTAGATCATCACACCATTTTGAACCTGGACTCACGCCACAATGTTAATGGCTCTTGATTTTCAGTGATTTGTTTAATGAATGGAATCAGTGTAAATGCCACTAACCAATATGCGAATGAGCCACAGGTCCACTTTGTGGTATTCCTTCAGCCATGCTCCATAAACGTGAAGACCGTGGCAGGCGAAAGATATCATGCCATAGTTCGTGCCGGCAACCAGGATTAGAAAAACAAGCGCTGCAATCATCCACCTTGGGGAACGTGTCAAAAACTCATGTTACCAAAATACAAACATTCAATTTTAATTCAATTAATTCAATTCAATTTTAAAGTATGACATTTAATTATCCGCTCACATGCCTTGACACTCATGTTCTGCGTAGCCCATTTGACGATGTGTGACAGTATTAACTGGTTTCAACTAGATATGTGTGCCAGAGTGCAAAGAGAAAAATAGGTAACAATGACACAATGGCCAAGCTCAAGTCCGGTTTTGATGACTCCCAAAAACATTTTGGATTTTTTTTTTAATCAAGGGGGGAATGTGGGCAAGTTTTTAATATTGTGGCATCCACATCTCTGGTTTTGGGAGCACAGGGCACTGATTGTGTCGCTGAAGATTTGGACCACCGATGTCATTTTGTGTGATGGTAGTGGACCACAAAAAAAAAAAAAAAAAAGCAGGGAGGCGGCCTACTGCCCAATCACAGATGGGATAGGCTCCCCCCCCCACCCCCCGGTGACCCTTGTGAGGATAAGTTCTTCGCATAATCAATGGAGTCACTGATGGTGTTGTCGTGGTACACTCGCTGAACTTGTGTATGTGTGGGCAGTGTGTGACCAGTTGCCACACTGCCCACTCTGTATGTTGGTGTGAATGGTCATTTGTATCTAGATGTGCCCTACGACTGACTGGCGACCAGTTCAGGGTGTAGTCTTCCTTCCACCTGAAGTCAGCTGGAATAGCCTCCAGCGACTCCCCACGACCCTGTTCAAGATAAGCGGTTTTGGAGATGGATGGATGGATGGATGGATTGCTCGTCATGTAAGTTACTGTAATTACACATTGTAAAAAGCTTACGCTCTGTCCCAAACAAGCAGCCAGGCGATATTGAAGCATAGATTGAGACACCAGCAAATGAAGAATCCGTAGGGCAAGACTGGAGGACTGCAGTAAACATAGCCGTAAATATTCCTGTGAGAAACATAAAGTCACAACGACAAAAAAAAAAAAAAAAAAAAATCTGTGATATGGTGCACACAAGATGGCCTTTCGGTAAAAAAATAATAATAATAATAATAATTGAAAGAGGAGTACTTTCTGCAAAGATTAGCGAGGATATAGATAATCATGAGTGTCAACCACACGTAGATGACACTCCAGATACTGAAGGTCCATCCAGACGGCGTGATCTCCGTTACAAACACGTCAGACACGTTGCCTGTGGTGGTACTGAAGGGGCCTGGGCAGATTTGAGGCGCAGTGAACATCAAATGCGTTGGTCACATGAGGAATCTCTTACGAGCACATTTGCTTACCCACTCCCATCACGGAAAGACCGTTGAACACCAAACTGACACCGTAGACCACCACGGAAAGCAAAATGGCAACAAGGCGTCCTGCATTGTGTTTCCCCATTGTAAGGAACCACTTTGAAATACGACGCAGGTTATGGAATACACTGTTGGAGTCAATGAGAAAATAGTGTGAGCGCAAAGCTCAAATACAACCCCTTGTAAAAACTAGGAGAGACATTATTGTCCTAAATTTGGTTGATGTTAGTGGTGACTAATAGGGGGGGGGGGGGGTGGGGGGGCAAACTATTTGACGAATTTTCAACTTTACACCTTAACCCAAGGGTAGGCAACTCCGGTCCTTGAGAGCCACTGTCTTGACTGTTTAAGAAGTTTCCCGACTCCCAACACGCCTCATTCAAATGAGGACCTGAGTTGCCTACGTCCACTTTGAGCAGATAACAATGTCAGAACCACACCTTCACCTCTGTTATCATTTTGCATAGACCATGTGTTTGAAGTTGTTATGGCACCAGAGTAAACTGGTTTCGGTTTTCAGCAACAGGGATCTAAAAGGCGCATGAATCCACTAAGATTTCCAACTTTGGCAAAAATGTGACACAAGATTGTAGTCAAGGTAAGACGCCGTATGATACAAGTGTAAAAAAAGGACTTTCATGTATCATATTTTCCAGACTATAAGTCGCAGTTTTTTTGTAGTTTGGCTCAGGGTGCGATTTATACTCTGGAGCGATTTATGGGTGAAATTATGAACACAGTATATCATTTCACATGTTATTTTCACATTAAACCGCAAGAGGCCGCTCTAGGCCTGTGTTGATAAAACCACGACGAAGCGCTGCAGTCTTCTACCTGCGGAATTGGTGGAGTTGTTTTAAAGTGACACAGAGGATGAATATTTCATTGGATTTAGTGATTTGGAGTGACATTGATGGTTTAGTGAACTTGTTAGCATGTTCTTTATACGATAGTTATGTGAATAACTCTTAATATGTTACTTGAACATACCAGGCACGTTCTCAGTTCGTCATTTATGTGTCATGTAATCTATACACTTATTCTTCGTGTTGATTTTTTTTTTTTTTTTTTTAATTGCCTTTCAAGATGACATGTCTGTTCTTGGAGTTGGATTTTATCACATAAATTTTCCCCCAAAATGCGACTCATACTCCAGTGCGACTTGTGTATGTTTATTTTGTTCTTTATTATGCATTTTATGGCTGGTGCGACTTATACTCAGAAGCAACTTATAGTCCGGAAAATATGGTAGTTGCAGTTATAAAGTTGCTGATTCTTCATTCTCGAGCGCTGTCTGGGTGCAGAGCACACTGCTCACATTAATTTCTGACACATCTGTTTACACTCCTTGTCCTGTACACTCTTGACTGAACTGGGCTCTGTTTTCTGGGGCGCCGTGACTAACCGAAAGGCACATCTGAACAAACATCTGAGTGAAGCAGTGCACTCGGAGCATTTTTTTTTTTTTTTGTTTTGAACACACCCACAAAAAGGAACGGTGATTTTGTGTGTGATGGACGAGCTCTAACTTTCGTGGTCTTGGTCTTTGTAAAATAATTTTTTTTGACCGGTCCATCTTAGAGGAAAGAAAAATAGCAAGAAAATCTACAGTGTAGTAGACCCGCAATACATGAAGTTATGGTCACAAATAAAAACCTGCAATCGAGTGAAGCCGTAATAACTGAGGGAACACTGCATTGTAATCGTTTGTACTTCTGTGGAACATCATAATGACACGTAAACGACAGTACTTCTGACAAAACGTAGCACAAAATGCATGTTGAAGATAAGATGAAATTGCTACGCAAACGTCGAGCCAAACAAAGCCTACCTTTCACCATCCGTCCTTTGCGCTTGTGGTGCAGATAGCAGAAGGTCTATAGAATGGATTCGCTCGTTTATGACCGTGGTGAAAGTCACATGGACCTCTTATCTTGCATGCTCTCCTGCAACTCGCTCATAAAAGGGTTGTGAAACAAAACACACCTCTCTTTTTACCTCCCATCATTAGATATCATTCGTTCATGTTGATCTTAATGAAGAATAGACGAGATACAGAGGAACCAAAATTGTCAAAAGAAGCAAGGTGCGAAACACGCGGAACGAATCCAGGCAAGATTGAAATACCCCAACACTTCGGATTTAGAAAGAAACTAGTGGATCTTCTAAAACAGAGGCCAAATTTAATGCACATACAAATCTCTAAATGGGGAAAAAGGCACTGCTAGGTTTGGGTTTAGTTGTCTCCTCTCTTTGTGACCGGCCTGCTGGATGGGCCCCGACCTTCAGTAGTTGAGCCTCCATAATTGCAGATTTTCCACATATCCCCTTTATATACACTATACAAACATTTCTCACTTGACACTTAACTTTTGGGCCTGGTTCTGGCGCTTCGCTCCTCTCCCTTGCCGCTCCTCCAAGTTTTAATGCATAACATACACCTCATGGTGGTTGGCCGGTTAGCGCATCGGCCTCACAGTGCAGATGTGCAAGTATCGATTCCGGCTACGGATCGGTTGAGATTGACGGCGGCGGGGTGTGTGTGTCATGTTCCGTATTTGGCAGCAGGTGGCAGGCGTTCATTCTGCTGCCTGCACACCTGCTGCCTATTTGTTAATGATTACACCTGCTTTATCTAAGCACTCCGGCTTCCGATTCATTGCCGGAGTATTGCATGCCGTGCCACTGTGATTGCCCATGCTCGTAAACCTTGCGCGTATTCAATTGTTGTTCGCTACACTTTCGTCATCCCATTGGGATTATTTAAAAACGCATATTTGATCTAGTATATTGTCTTATCTTTTTCCTTGCCGTTTTTTGCAAGCGCTTTGTTTTTTCACGTTACATTATTTCCTGGTTCTCGTTTTGACCAGCGTTTTCTGTTTTCCATTAGACGGGGTTTTTTTCGTTTATAATAAATATTATTTTGGGACAATAGCCTTGTCAGTGTCTGCTACTTCGGGATCCACTTATTCTCGTTCGCACTGTTGCGTACGAAGCAGTTCTTTTCCCTGCCTTGTACGCAACGTGACAGTGTGGGCCGGTGTCAGGCTGGTTGGAGCGCTTTGGTGGGGATGGCGGACCGCCCTCAGTCCCTTCGGCGGCCGGACTGCCTTTTGTGGGCCCTCTGGCCCGCCCTAAACTCTTGGCTGGACAGGGCGATGTCCTCCGTCCACAGTTGCCTGCACATCAACTCAGGGACACCTCTGACTTTTATTGTGCATGCATGACAGTGTCCATTTTTTTCCCACATTTTCATACACACAAACCCATGTTATTTAAAACAGTTGCATGGTGCGGGCCATTCTCTCATTCCTTTTAACAGCTCTTGAGACGTTACTCTAACTTCAAAGACTGTGCTCTCACTTGCACTCAGTTTCGACAGTTGTTTCGTGGATGTATTACCAACCCACCCCTCACCACACTGCAGTTTCACTACTCTCGGCCTGTTCGATTTCTGCCCTCTCCTCATCCTGTTTTGTCATGGCATGTCATTTTTGACACCACTTATCCTGTACAGAGTCGTCAGGGGGTGCTGGAACCTAAAAAACTGCTCTGTGACCCGGGCAAATTGCTTTGGCATTGTCATGATCCTGTTCTTGTGTGTCTCCAGCAGGTGGCAGAGGAAGGCCTTCCCTCCAGCGTGCACACATGCTGCCAATGTTTTCATCAAGTTAGCCATTTATTTCAGAACTGCCCATTTGCCAAGATTCTGTCAGATTATTGACCTTGTTTGCTGCTCATTTTCAAGTGTTGTTTTCTGGACCTCTTGATCTCATAATGATCATTTTTGCTCTCACTTACCTGGTTAGTAAGTATTGACATTATTTTGTCTTTGATTTAGCTTTTGTTTTGTGATATTGGACTCTTATCATTTCGTTTATATTCTCTGCATGACTATTATCTTGCCTATTCAAGCGTGTTTTGTTTATGCCTTGTTTTTCTTGGCATTTTGTGACCAGTGATTTCTATTTATACTTTTTCGGTGTACTTTTTCTCGTAAATAAATATTTTTCTTACGGATTCTGTTTGCGTTTATGTTTGTGGGATCCAATCCCCATTCAGTTCCTCCATGCACTGCGTCAGGCATAAATAGTCTTTCACTTTTTCCCCCGATGAAGGCATTCTCAGCTCTTCACGCTGACTTTTCATGAACCGCAGAATCAGGAGCAACTGGGGGTTCAGTATCTTGCTCAACGACTGTAACTTGGTCACAAGGGCTGGGGATCAAACCCACAATCTATGGGTTGGAAACGACTACTCTACCATTGAGCCATCCCACCAAAACTCACGCACGCGCACACACGCACACACACACACACACACACACACACACACACACACACACACACACTAAAATGTAGATCCTCCATTCTGCATAGCCAAGCGTCAGATTTAAAAAAAAAATGTCTGCCATGTTTTTTTTTCATATATGTTGATGCTCTTTTAAAAGGTAATTATGTTTAAATGATGGGCATGTATGCTGTGGGTCGGGGTTGGCAACAGGCGGCTCTAGAGCTGTATGTGCCCCAGTGGCTTGAAAATGGAAAAAGATGGGGGAGGGAAATTTATTTTTTGTTTTAATATAGTTTCCGTATGAGGACAAACATGACACAAACATTCTTAACGTTTTCCAATGCTGTAAAAATGTGTAGAATAATTATAAAATTTCAACATTTCTGTCAACGAAGAAATGCATCGTAGCCTGCGACACACATTTCTATTATCAGGGCGGGATGCCAGGCAGGTAGGTGGCTGTCGGAAAAAAAAAAAAGTCGTTTCATGGACAATTCACCAATGGTGCTGACAAAATATGGGAATGTGGAGGGCATTGTGGAGAAGCATTTGAAAACGGTACATGAAAGCTACGATAGATAACATGCCGCAACAGTGCGTCCCATGTCTTCACGACAAAAGTAGGCAGTGATTTTCAGAAACTCTTGCGTCTACTTTATTTTTCAGTTTCATTCATCTTAGGGACCGTTGTGGCTCTTGCTCACTATGGCATGCGTGTGTAAGTGCGTGTGTATGCGTGCGTGTTCTGTAACGGGTTGATTGCGGGAGGTTGTTTGATCGAAAAGTAGATCTTCAGTCAAAAAAGGTTGGTCACCCCTGCTCTACAGGATGCACTGCAGGAAAAAACACATTTAAAATCATGAAGGCTCATTGTGTATTTGAAGCCAATTTAGTCATTTTGATAGTTGGCTAATATAGCTAAAATAGGTACATACAACGTGTGTTGCTTTAATTATAAGTCTTATACAAGGCTTTTATTTTTTTTCGGCTCCAGATGTACAGTATTTGTTGGGGGGGGGGGGTCAAATGGCTCTTAACATTTTGGTTGAAGCTTTCTGGGTGAAGCAATAGGGGCGCCTGCAGTTTGCTGAAATCTGTCACAAATGGAACAGGAAACTTTCGTCTACTCCATGGTATCCTTGCTCGAAAATGTACTTGAAGACAAAACGTACAAAGTATTCCTACCAGATGTTTGCTCCTCATATCACATACTTTGAATGCTGTTCACTTTAAAAGATCGTCACTAAACACACCCTTAAAAATGGATTGGTGAAAAACCGTGACGTGACAATTACCATGCAAATAGACTCACCTCTTGAAATCTGATTTTTTTTGTAATCATCACTTTTATAAGAATTCAACTGAACTGCAGAAACAAAAACACATTTGACATATAGTATCTCCTAAATTAAAATGCACTCAATCATAATGCGACATGCATTCAGTAAACATGAAGAATAAAGTGCAATTTAAATGCTCCAAGTTGCATTCGCTACGAGCAAAATGTATGCTGGAACATTCTGAATATATATGTTCCTTCCTGGCTGCCTTACTTCCAACTACAGTATCCATCTGTCCTTCCTTTCTTTTGTCCTCCCCTCATACTTTTTTCGTCATTATTTCCTGCCTTCGCTTGAAACTACTTTTTGCCTCCCGCCCTTCATTCCCTTCTTCCTTCCATCAGAGCTGTTTTATTTATCCGTCTTTCATCTGTCAGTATGCTACTGAGACCTGCTGTTCTTCCTTCCTTTCATTCTTACTTGTCCCCCTCTAACTTATTTTCTATTATAGATCTTTCCCTCTCCTTCCTTCTTACCTTACTTTCATTTATTGCGACCAGCCTTAAAACTACCTTTTGTCCTACGGTACCTGCCCAATCCTAGAAGCTACTTAATTTGTTCTTGACTAGTTTTCATTATTCATGGTAGCCTAAAAAAGTGAATTTAAAGTATGTATCCATACTTTTGGCCCACCCTGCAGATATTATGAAAGTTGTCACAAGTTGTCACAATTTGTCGTATAGTACTAACAAACATGTAACACATCGTATAAGAAAAAGTGCATTCATTATGGATGGTCATACAAAAAAGAAAAAAATCACTGACATCAAAACATTTTCCAAACTTGCAAAAACCACATTTCCCAAGCAAAACTCACACATAGTGTCACACAAAAGCAGTGCAGTGAGCGCCCTTACTTGAGCAATATATTTCTTTGACTGTTGATTATGTCCACGGGCAATCTGAGCTCTACACTATTTTGCCTGTAGATCGGACTCTTGATGTGACGCCACACAACCAGAATGATACGGGTGGCAAACAGAACGCAGGCCGTTGCCAGCACAACCACTGCGGAAAAAAGAGTGTTTGTGTTAACTACCAGGGTTAGTCTACACCACAGCCAAAACAATTCCAATGAATTTTACAAACAAAAAGAAGAGCACCGTGACGAAATGTGCTGTTGTATCTGTGTTGTACAAATGTACGACATACGATGTGCCTTTTTATTGTTTGCATTGGTCCTCAAATGAGGTTCCATCCATCCATCCATTTTCCAATTCGCCTTATCCTCACAAGGGTAGGGGGGCACTGGAGCCACTCCCAGCCGTCTTCGGGCAGTAGACGGGCGACATCCTGAACTGATTGCCAGCCAATTTGAACGGCACACGTAGACGAACAACCATCCGCGCTCACACTCACACCTAGGGGCAATTTAGAGTGTTCAATCAGCCTGCCATGCATGTTTTTGGAAGGTGGGAGGAAACCGGAGTACCCGGAGAAAACCCACACAGGCACGAGAAGAACATGCAAACTCCACACAGGAAGGCCGGAGCGGGAATCAAACCCTGCATCTCTGCACGGTAAGGCCGACGTGCTAACCAGTCGACCACCCCCCAATAAAACAATGATACAAGATCACTGCTTTTGGCCAATTAACTCTGATGTGTTTGTGGCATATCCCACGTGGAGGAGGCAGTAAAAGGCTGTCTTCTTATTTATTGTAGATTCAATATTATTTTTGACCACTTGGTGGAGGGCTTGAATGAACAACACCGGGGTGCATTTAAGGGTGACTCAGTGGCATTGTGGCAGGAGGGACACTGGTTTTGGATACTGTATGTAAGAGGTCACAGGGACCAACAACATTTGCGACGTTTGATATGTCATCTTTAAACTGATTGTCGCCAGAGTTTTGTATATTGATCTGTTATTTCACGATGCAAAAAAAGGAAAGAAAGAGAACTTCCTCACCAGCAAATATTCCAGTTTGACTGGGCGATTCGGCATCATAGTTTTTGGTGTAGGATCCAGTCAGTGCCCAGATGACGACGGGGTAGATGATCAGGATGTAGCGCACGTGTTTATCCAAAAAGAAATTTTCCAGGACAAACCTGCCATCGGGGTTTGGTGTGGGGAACAAAGTAATCAGGAAAACAATCACAGGAGACAGTCTGTTGGATGATGCCATTTTACTTACCATACTAACACCACCACGACCAAAATGGCGAGTGAGATCGTGGCGGCAGATGTTAGGGACAGGCTTGCATACGTGTTGAGCACAATGGCCAGGTTGAGGAGGCTCGCGATGGTGGTCCACGTTGCGTACATGGCTATACCGTTTTGAACCTACGACATGAAATGCTGGAGATAAGTCGCCAGTATTCACCCGCTGACATGTTTAGATACTCACCAACACACGCACGAGCCAAAGGTCAACCCTATGGAATTTATGGAGCCAGGCGCCGTAAGTGTGAAGGCCATAGCATGAGAAGAATATCATGACGAAGTTGGTCAAAGTCACCACAATGAGGAAGGCCAGAGCGACAGACACCAGCCTGTGAAAAGGGTGCAGTCCAACGTTATTATGGTTGATGTAATCTCATGAAATAACGACAACTAAAATTGAAGAGAAACATTTTCGTGAACAAAATATAATCATAAAAAAATGCATTTGACAAAAAATTTACTTAAACTAGGTGGTCGGTGGTGGTCCAGTGGTTCGCGTGTCGACCTCACAGTGCAGAGGTACAGGGTTTGATTTCAGTTCTGGCCTGTTCTCCCGTGCCTGCGTGGGTTCCTCCCACATTCCAAAAACATGTATGGCAGGCTGATTGAACACTCCAAATTGTCCCTAGGTGTGAGTGTGAGCGTGTATGGTTGTTCATCTCTGTGTGCCCTGCGATTGGCTGGCAACCGGTTCAGGGTGTACCCTGCCCACTGGCCAAAGGCAGCTGAGATAGGCTCCAGCACACCCCGTGACCCTTGTGAAAAAAGCGGATCAGATAATGGATGGATGGATGCATGGATGGATGGATGCATGGATGCATGGATGGATGGATGGATGGCCCAAACATATCTTCTATGTCAGCCCCCCACAACCGAACAACTCTGAGATGTGCTCACTCCATGGTTGTGTGTGGCTGAATGCATCTGCGATTACATTCAAAGCAGTTTCATGCACGTTTCTTACCTTCTGTCCCACACAAACAACCATCCGATATTGAAGCCAAAATTCAAGCACCAAGTCAGGTAGAAGCCATGTGACAGAACCGGTGGGTAGCAGTACATCAGGCCGAGTGCATTTCTGGTGGAAAAAAAAAGCTGTTATTCATGAACGATAGCAAGTATTATTGGGGGGGGGGGGGTTACCTTCTGCAGAGGCCTGCAAAGGCATAGACCATCACAAGAGCAAGAAAGATATAAATAAAGGTCCAAATGATGAAGGTCCATCCAGATGGTGTTATCTGGGTGGCAAATGCGTCCGAAATATTGCCAGTGGTCTCCAAAAAGGGATCTAGAAGGGGTGACAAGTTTTAGGCGTTTAGGGATGTTATATTTCATACGGACAGCACGGTGGTCGATTGTTTAGCGCGTCGACCTCACAGTGCAAAGGTGCAGGGTTCGATTCCGGCTCCCGCCTTCCTGTGTGGGGTTTGAATGTTCTCTATGTGCCTGCATGGGTTTTCTCCGGGTACTCCGGTTTCCTCCCACATTCCAAAAACATGCACGGCAGGCTGAATGAACACTTCAAATTGTCCCTAGGTGTGAGTGTGAGCACGGATGTTTGTTTGTCTCTGTATGCCCTGCGATTGGCTGGCAACCACTTCAGGGTGTCCCCCGCCTACTGCCCCAAGACAGCTGGGATAGGCTCCAGCAACCCCCACGACCCTCAGAAAATGAATGAATGAATGAATGAATGAATGAATATTTCATGAGTTTTCTTCAGCCAGTGAAGTCGTCCTGCTTACATACGCTGTTTTGATAGCACATCGGGACATCTAGCCATGACAGTTATCTGTGAGTATAATTCAACATGAGCAGCAGTGTCGACTGGTTAGCATTTCGGCCTGATAGACAGAGGTCTAGGGTTCGATTCCTGGCTCCGACCTTAGGATGTCTAGTTTGCATCTCCTCCCTGTGCCTGTGTGGGTTTTCTCCGGGTACTCCGGTTCCTTCCACATTCCAAAAACATGCATGCTAGGTTAATGGAATACTCTTAAAACGTTGTGATTAGAATAAGTGTGATTGTGAACACGACATGTTTGTCGATGTGTGCCCTACGATTGGCTAGTATCCAGTTCAGGTTGTCCCCCGCCTACTGCCTGATGACAGCTGGGATAGGCTCCGTCGCACCCCCGACATTCATGGGCATAAAGCGGTTCAGATAATGGATGGATGAATGAAAAACATGACACAAATGTTGTTGCCAAAATGAGTTTTACAGGGATGTCAAACTCAACCTTATGCAAGGCGCCCAAACTAAATGTTCAAACCGCAGGTCACGGGCTGAAGAGGTTAAACACTTATTCAACGACGAAAGTCAAACTTTTTTTTTTCGCATAAATATGAATCAAAATGGACAGTACACAATATCATTCAAAATAAATTGGATTTTATTGGATTGGAAAAACGTTATTGTCAAATGTACTATGTGTAACATCCAGCACGGATGAAATTTCTTGAAATGAACTTGAACATCAAATATTGTGACCTAAAATGTATTTGCCTTGCAAAATGTTCCTCACCCAGAGAGACTTATTCTACTTATTTTGTTGTTTGAAATGTGACAAACTATACACCCGAAGTTTGTTAAACATGTTTAATTTTGTTGGGGTGTTTTTCCCCTCAAGTATGCACTGTGGTCAAAATTCATTTAGATTATTTTTAGATGGGACTTTAAAACATGACAGTTTAGAAGTTACTTTAACAGTTGTAAAAATGTTTGTATAGCGAATGTAAATACGTGTTTTCTTCATTCATCCTCAAGCTTTTGAAGTCCTTTACATTAACTGTGAGTGGGCGAAAGCAAAATTGTGACATCTGGCCAGTGTTGTTATTTCAGAGTTGAAAACACACTGAGTCGCAGTTTTAAGAGTGTTTTCTTGATTTTTCCCAGGGTGCTAAATGTCTCCTAGTTAACATGCAATATCATTACTGCAAATGGCAAAAAACAGACACGTAAAATGGCACTTTACTTACATTGTCCTCGTGCTGCCAGAAAACTAAACACCAGCGTGACGATGAAAATGCCCAGCGATAACACCATGGCAATAAGAAGGCTAATGCTGTGGCTTGTCATTGTGATGAACTAACCCAATTGAAAAACCAACGCGGTCAGTAAGGTCAAATCCACTAAGCCTTTTGCTTTGCTGTTGAGGCTAAGGCAAACAGCGTGAACTGCAAGACGAGATGGCACGTGGACTAGACAGGTTTTATGTCATGAGCACGACTTTGAATTGCCCTCCAGCACAAATACACGTGAGCGTTACATCAGCACGGTTGGGAGACTCCCTATTTGGCATACCCTACATCATAATTATTTATGTTAGCTAACAACGTCCCTGCACACTTGTTTGGTAGCATCTGTCCCCTGTTGTGCAAACACCTTTAATTGCATAGTGGAGCATTGTGTCACTGGAACGTGGTCGGCGCGTGTGATGTGAAACTATGCATTTCTGTTTGTAAATTTTTACTGGACTGTAAAACATCCATCCATCCATCCATTTCCTGATCCGCTTTATCCTCACAAGAGTCGCGGGATGTGCTGGAGCCCATCTAGACTGTCTTCGGGACACCCTCAACCAGTTGCCAGCCAATCGCAGGGCACACAGAGACGAACAACTAACCGCGCTCACACTCACACCGAGGGACAATTTTTTAGAGTGTTCAATAAGCCTGACATGCAGGTTTTTAGAATGTGGGAGGAAACCAGAGTACCCGGAGAAAGCTCACGCAGGCCTGGGGAGAATGTGCTCCACACAGGAAGGCCAGAGCTGGAATTGAACCCGGTACCTCTGCACTGTGAGGTCAATGCACTGTGAGGTTGATGCGCTAACCACTCGACCACCCCCGGGCGGCCCAATTACCATTTACACAAGCACATTTATTTTTTATTTTTAATTGTTTCATTCATTTGTGAATTGACACGATCTGGCCACAAAAAGAGGTCCAGCACACCTACACTATTTTATGCAATCTAATGCAAGCGCTGTGATAATAACGGAGGACAGTAATGTTCATCGTGGCACCTAGAATCCTCTTGGAGGTGCCATGTCGCTGGCTGAGTGAGTCTGGGTCCACCCAAGGCCACATTTTTGTTCGCATGACATCACTTCCAGAGCGCCTCAACCTCACATGGTGTCCAAATTCACATTAGGATTGGCCAAATTCGCCATTGTTTGTGCGGTCCATGGAAACCTCATGAGGAGGAGCCTTTGAAGGCACCAAAAGACCCAGCCATAGAGTGGTCTTTGAAAAAATTGGAAACCACATGTGCCAGAAGTGATGGCATGGGGCTGAAGAATGCGTCCCAAAATGCCTGTGAATTGGGGTAGCTGTTCTTTTTAACAAATTCAAAGCAAATATTTTTTATACTTTTTTTCGGATGAGGGAAGGTGGCGAAGTTTGGTTTTCAAATTAGATAACCCCTTGTAGATCGGTTACTTCAGTGGAGATCTTATCAGGTTATCAGGTTACAGATTAGCATTATTGGCGCATGAAAGAGTAAAACACAGATTATTAAATTCTCTCATTGGTATCTGATAAAAGGTTTAAAAAAAAGGTTTGGACGAGATCATAAGTGAAACCCAACCTGAATTTATGTCAAACCGACAGATTAGCTCAAATTTAAGATTCGTGCTTGATTTACTTGATTACTCTGATTACATTGATAATGACTGCCTTATAGGGTTTTTTTTCCCAACAAAGTTTTTTGATATGATGGAACATTATTTTTTTTATTGAAAATGTTTTGGTTTTGGTCAGAATTCTATATCAACTATCACAATGTTTTCCAAATTATTATTAAATTATTATTGATAGTTGTGCCATGCGATATCCAAACACTACCAATAGATTTCCGATTCTGAGGTCCGTCCGTCAACGTTGTGCAATATCACCTTATTTTGTTTTTAATTGCGGTAGAAATACTTTCGTTATATATCAAGTGTGTTTAATGTCTTGGTGTTTATATCTGTAACAATATTAAGGCGCGCCAACGATTTAACTGCTCTCAAACTACTAAAAATTTAAGCAATATTAAATTTATGGCTTCAAAGAGACTTATCAATTTTGGGAAGAGTCCTTCTGACTAAAGCCTAAAGGATTTCCAGAGTTTTCGAGTATACCCAACTATGTTCCTTGATAATATAAAATAAGAAAACCTTTATTTGTCTCACAATGGAGAAATGACCACTTAACAAACATTAACAAAAAGCGCTTGCAAAAGGCAAGCAAATGGTTTAACTGAGAAAAACAACGAAATGTAAAGAATCCAATTCACACGTTAAGCAAAAACAAACAAGGTCAAAACAATCCAACTAACTGCAGGCAGTTTGTCAGTCCTTATTAAATACATGGCTCGTGAAAATCGGTGTGCACACTGAAGGGATCACTCTAATCTGCCACCTGCTGGAGACATACAAGAACAGGATCATGACAGTATAAAAAAAGTCCTGGATCAATGTGCGACATTATCCCACATAACATATTCAAGAATTTAGGAGGTCTTCAGTTTTTACTTTCATACTATAATAATATATCGAAAATACCGGTTAAAATTTCAACATTTTATCAACAATCTTTGTTAGCGTGGGAAACGTATCACTCATGTCATTTTCCCCACGTGTCATGGTTCTGTTTTGTTTTGTCTCCAGCAGGGGCAGTGGAGGGTTCATCCTCGCAGTCCCTGACGATTTTTTTTTTTTTTTTTTTGTCTTTGACCTTTTATGTTTCCGGTTTGCTATTCTTGTTATCTTCAGTTAGTTTTTGATATTGCTATCCTCAGTGCGTTTACGTTTTACTTATTGATTTGCTTGCCTTGTCATGTTAGGACAAGTGATTATTATTTCTCTTGCCTTTTGCTCTTTTTGTTCTTTTCGTTAGTCGTGTTATTTTAACCTGGGTTGCTCCCAGCGACTTATGTTGTACTTTGTTGGTCTCAGGACCTGTTTTGTCATAAAATATGTTTTTGGTCTGCATTTTTGGCATCTGCTTCAGTTCCGACTTGGTCCGGAACCTTAACAATAAGTATATTATTAGGTACAATGAATGTATTCTCAAAAGGAACAAATCACTTTGTTTACAAAATTGGATTGATACAAACATTATTTCCATGAGGACTTGTTTAAAACTGTCACGGTCAACTTAGTTAATTTTTCATGGAATAAGCATTCTCTATTAAATGTAAAGAATTTCACTCTAATAAATTCTATTCCCAGTGGAATAGGAGAATTGATGAAAGACTATAAGAAACAAAACAAACAACCCATGCTTATTAATACCGTATTGGCCCGAATATAAGACTGTGTTTTTTGCATTGAAATAAGGCTGAAAAAGTGGGGGTCGTCTTATATTCGGGGTCGAGACATTATACCCATTCACGACGCTATATGGCGCCAGATATCATTGAAGCAAACACTGAACTTGACTGCCCAGGCCAAAGTGAACCCCTGTCATGAAGAATAAAAATAAAAATAGCGATAGCACGAAGAAAAAAAAAATAGCAGTAAGAAAGAAAAGAGAAGAAAATAATAAGACATAACAGAAAATGGAGAAACGTAGCGACAATCTGGAGCAAAGTGGGTCGAAGATCGGCCAGGTTAACCGGCAGCTGAGGAGAAGTTATGATGTAATTTACATTTCAAAAACCAGAAGCCATTCATTTACGAATGTGATTGCACTTTAGTTTACATACCGTATTTTCCGCACGAAAAGACGCACTGGATTATGAAGCGCACCTTCAATGAATGGCTATTTTGTAAATTTTTTTTCATACATTAGACGCTGCGTGTTAAAAGACGCAATCTACAATGCCTCCACTAGATGGTGGTATGCTCCTTCCATTCAACTCGAGAGGCGTCCGTTCAACTTGAGAGGCGTCATGACCACCTCTGAAAAATGTAAATTAACTATTGCTGTACTTAAATGAAACTATGAAAATTGAAAATAATGCATCTAAACAGAAAATCAAGTGAGGAAATCACAAAATATATTCTATATCCCCGTACAGAATTTATTTTGTGATTTCCTCACTTAATTTTCTTCGTGGTTTGATTGAAGAATTAATTTACGGTTTTCGTAGGCGGCCATGAACGCCTCTCGAGTGAAAGGGAAGAAAGCACGGAGACAAAGACGTACAGTCCCTGTACTTGCTGAGACTGTGAAAACCATTTATAAAGTCTGCGTTTAAAAAAATAATAAAACCACAACCACAGCTCTCATTTTTTCAACAAACACAGGTGTATCTTTGTCCGTCTCCTTTCCTTCTTTTCTTCCGGTCAACTCGAGAGGCGTTCATGACTGCCTCCGAATAACGCATTGGCATTTCCTTTTCCGTCGCTCCAACATTACGATCAGATAAGAAAACCTTTAATAGGCTCACAATGGAGAAATTCCCATTTCACAGCAGCAAAGTTATGAGAGGAAGAAGTAGAAGAACAAAATAAATAGGAGCTGCTGGAAAGGCAGCCACTCTCGCGGCGCCATGTTGAAGTCAAAATAACACAAGATATCATTCGTAGTTATTTATTCCTGTGTTGTGTATTCACAAATGATGAAATCACATTATAAATTCTGTGGGAGGGGGCTATGGAATTTATTTTGTGATATCCTCGCTTGCTTTTCAGTTTTGAGGTATTATTTTCAATTTTTGTAGTTTCATTGAAGTAATCCTTACTTTACATTTTTTCGGAGGCGGTATTGAACACTGCAGTTGATCTTGAACGTCTCTCGAGTCGAACGGAAGAAGGCACGGAGACAAAGACGTGCCTGTATTTGTTGAGACTGTTTTAAAAAATGAACACCACAGCTCTCCTTTTTTCGGAGCTGCAACACATACTTATTTAATAAAGCAGCGACACAGTTCACTGAACCAACAGCAAGTTATAACATTGGAAGCATGTCTCCAGGAAGGAGCCATCTTGGAGTTGAAGTGTTACCGTAATGACCATACAAAAGACGCACTGGATTTTAAGGCGCTCGGTGAGCTTTGAAGAAAATGGAAGACTTTTTGGTGCGCCCTGTAATGCGGAAAATATGGTATTTAAATGTTCAGATATTCCGATTTGAATGAGGCAAAATAACATGCTTTTTCTCTCAAATATATTGTTATAATCATTTGTTTCATATGTACTGTAATTATTTTCTGTATAAAAATTAATTTGG